CGCACATAATTATCTACGTAGGCGAATTGCGTAGTCATTATAAATGAATTAAATGTAAAATTTTTTTTTTACGGCCTTGCCCTTGATGATATAGCAAAATTTTTTAAATAAAAAAAGAAAGTGTGTGAAAAAAAATTATTTGTTGAATAATTTATTTATTCATGATAAGAAAAAAATTTTTCATGAAAAAAAATATATTTATAAAAATTTTTCATGAAAAAAAAAATTTTTTATAAAAATTGTTTATAAATTTCCCATGAAAAAAATTTTTTTTATAAATTAATTAATTTATTCATAGTAGAAAAAAATTTCATGAAAAAAAAATTTTTTTCAAAAATTTTTAAGTGATTAACGCAGGATTATCGAATGTTCAATCCAGCGTACAATTCTTATTAAATAAGGGACAGAGTTCTGGTTGGGCTCATTTTGTTCGTCTTTTCCAGCCCTTTTTAAACATGTATACAGATATAAAAAAAAACAATAGTCCATTGTAAAAAATGAAAATGTATAAAAAAAGCTAAAAGTTCAAATAATCCAGTACGCGCGGAAAACATTCTGGGAAATTTCCAATTTAGGAGGATCAAGTTCAGGTCACAAATTTTTCTAAAGTATGTGAATAAAGGAAGGTAACATGATAATTTCAGATCATTTGGTTAATAGTCCATTTTTTAAGAAGCTATCGAAAATTTATTTTATTCGCAGTACGTTTTTTGACTCAAGAGTAAAATCGATTTTCAAACGTGCGATACAAAAAGGACGGGCCACCAAAACGCTCAAAAATAAAAGTGTAGATCTCTCAAGTCTTCTTAAAGACCCTGATAAAATTTCAGAACTGTGCATGGTAAATTACCTGACTTACACATCAGTACGTGCAATTTTAAAAGTTAGTCAGAAACACTCATATATGTATATCTCGAATCGGATTGGATAAAATTACTGTCGAGACGAAATGAAAGAATCGATAAAAATTGCATACACGGACGAATAAGCGAGTATGTGTATATATAGAGGGAGTGCAGCGGCGACGGCAGCAGCAGCTATATTCCGCACTTCTGTCTGCAGTCGCGCGAGTAAACAAAGCTGAAGCAACAACCCATCGATAACAGTATTATATACATGCATACATGCATACGTGAAGAAGTACGATAGCTTATACATGTCCGAGCGTCACGAGCCACGCAAACGCACGCATACAGGCGCACACACACATACGGACGATGGCATACATCGGTGTGCACAGCGCATTCTTACGCACGCGAGTGACGCGAGTTGCGTCGCACACAATACACACACACACACACACACACACACACATGATAGGCACGATATATGCGCGGTGCAATGACCATTGGCCCGATCGTGCCGGCCGACGACGACGACGACGAGCGAATCGTGCGCAGATGACCGCGTTTGATGATCGTCGTAAGAATAGTACGATAGGTACGTAAGGCGTAATGAACGATCAACGCTCTCCTCCACCATATACGCGTATTCACTCGTGCTCGAAATATGCGAACGATGCAACGCGCAGGAAATTATGACTGACGTACGTGCCTATACGTATATATGCAGTATAGCTGAATACAATAAATTCTTTGTTATTACTCGACTTGCTGCTGCTGCTGCTGCTGTTACCCACTCGTACTTTTGTTGTTGTTCTGGTTTTTGAGCCTGCGTGGGTGTACACTCGAGTATGACGAAGGGAAGAAGAGGCGCGCGGGGCCCTTACTCGGGCTCGAGGAGATCGATGCAAAAGATGCGTTCGTGCCGACTACGAGCTCGACGTTGTATTATAGAGCGAACCTACGGACACGCTAATGAGTCGAGCTGTTTTACAATCTCCAGCGGAAGCAAATCGACTCTTCCTTTTTCTTTTTGCCGTGCTACCTACCTACTGCACTGCTATACCAACGAAATCTTTGTAGCCTCGTTTCGAGGCTTTTTCGAAATTCTTTGTGCGCTGCGAGTGCCACACAGCAACGCGCCAGCTCCAAAGACGCAACAGGTAAAATATACGTAACGATATCGGACGTTTTCGTTATGTAACCGAGAAAAAAAATCATCGATATAGGTTGCAGTTAGAGTGAAAAACGTCATCCGCGTAAGTTCGTGTCCGGCCATATGCGAGCGAGTATATTCTCTCTGTATAAAAAATGCTATACGCGACGACGAGTGACGAGCTCCAGACTGCTTGAATACGTATATATACGTGCAGCAGCAGCAGTAGCAGCAGCGGCTAACGCGTCCATTGAAATGACCTATACTCGAATATGCGTGCTCTCGGCAATAAGTTTAGCATTGAAAGTAGTCTCGTAAAACCGGATGTCGCAGCAACTATTTCAATAAATTGTTTATAAAACGCGCGAGAATTGCAAAATCTTTGTACGTTTTTCGATCGATATAAAATAATACGAGCGGCGATTAGCGCGAGCTATGCGCGGAATGTTAAGGACTTTTATATACGCGTGCCGCCGCGGGTACATTGACTCGGTAATATTCGTTCGTCGATCGATGTAGGCTGATAAAAGAATTCGTTCGATTCTCGATCGTCGTTTAAAAAAAAAAAATAATAATAATAAAACGATGAAGTTTCGAGAGAATTTGGAGCCAGGCTGAAATTCTTCCGCGCGACCATCCGCGCTATATTTCCAAAAAATCATTGCAAAATCTAGTTCACGGCCGACTCGTTACACGACTGCGTAGGCTCGCGAGCATTATATAGACCCGCAGCAGTTCCTACTCACCGATGAGCCAGTGCATGTATAACACACACATGCAGGCGCACACAATGCAGGTGCATCGACTGCCTGTACACACAGTGGTGTGTAAAGCTACGCCGACGATTACGTCAGAGGTAAATGCGCGAGTCCTTTCACTCCTTATACACGGCTATGTGTGTGCGCGCGCAAAGCCAGAAATAGTACAGATGCGTACGTGCCATTTAATGCAATCGACGTTCGCGCCTGTATCTGTATAGGATAGATATACGCGAGAACGAGAGCTCGCGGGCCACCACTGTACTAAAACTGGCTGCGGACTTTTCGTCGACGAATGGAACCAAGAGTGTGAAACGCCATCGTCGCCTCGGGGGAATGCCTCGAATGTACCGCTGGAACCGCAAAGTTTCCGTACTTCATCGACATTTCGACGCGGGCCGAATTACCGATCGTTATTGTCAATGAATACATAATGCCGTGACGTATCCGACGACGATTTTGGCTTATATCGATCGGCATCTCGTGTTCGTGCGTATATCGGTTGACAATAGTCGCGCCGCTACTCGTGCGTTTCGTCGAATGTTTTTCGAAATATTTACATCGCTACCCGCGCTCCGATTGTGCGAGCCTGCACGCTCGGAATCAATAGAAATTATTCATTACGTATGCTGTTCACGTGCTCGCGCATTCCATTCCAAGTCTCCTGTATACGAATTGCGACAAAAATGCGCGACACGATTCGACTAATGTTTTCAAATAGACCTTTTCGCCGCGAATTTTCGCGATCGAAATACGTTATGAAACATTATGTGTATCTAACTAAACATATTGTTTGACGTGTCAAAAATGCCCCAGTATTTTGACAGAATTGTCGGGATTGGGATAGAGTGACTTATAAAAAAAAGGCAAAGGGGATCTTTTACAAAAACTTATGAGGTAGTAGTTTACGTTTTGAGGAAGTTCTGTGAATGTTTTTTTTTCGTGCTAGTCAAGTTTATACAAGATTAGATTTTGAGTTTTGTGTTCCTTTCTGTAGTAGTAAGCCTTTTCTGGTTTTTCTAAATGTTTAGACAATTTTCAATAATAAAGCTCTGTTATACTTTTTTTGTTCAAGTCACCCTATAATAATCTAAGAATTATTTCAATATTTGCGATATAATTATGAATTTCAGAAAAAAGAAAACTTATGGCCTCTGAAAAAAGGTGATAAACGAAAAATTATTCGATCAGGTGGGTTGACAAATAATCAGCCATCGACACATAAAATTGAGCCATCGATTTCTCAATAGCTGAGCACACAAACGCGTAAAAATAGATACTTTCAACAATTTCTTTGGTCAGAAAAACAAAAATTTTAATTGCGATCTTGACGCCTTATCGATGCTCGTTAATACTTGAATTATCTTATTATATTGTTCTCATGTGGTTTACTGGAAAGTATAAAACAAAAAAATTAATTACATTATGGACCGTATGGGGGTTTATACCCCACAGTCCCAATAATAAACAAATTAAATAATCAAAACAATCAAATTATGTGTGCAGACGGTAAATCTGCTAATACTTACCACTCGAGAAAAATTCTCACTTAGTTTACTTATGGAAATTATGAATAACGTTAAAAAAAATTCTAAAAGTATAATGTGAGTATATTACATTCGATCAAAGAAGCTGGTAATATTTCTTAAAAAATTATTCAAGCTAAAAAATGCGTTCAGTACACCGACCACCGTACTAAACTATAAATGTATATACCTATCTTGAAATGCATTAGGAGCCTGTTGATATTCATTTTTAAAAATTTAAATATTTACATGGAAATTATTAAAGTTCATCGTTTGAAAACAAAGTCAACTATTTTATCGAGTATGTAGACTAGTTTCCGAACAGGGTAATTTTAAAAATCTCAAAAATTGTTGATAATTTTCAAGTGCCGAAATAAAAATTTCTCTGAAAATATAATATTTAAAAAAGTGAAAAGTTTTTATTGCGTCAGAATTATATTTTAACAGCTAATTATTCAAATAATACGTCACGCCGATCGATTACTCGCGGGTGATCGGGAATTAGAAGGTTTACCCAATAAACTTGATAAGTGTTACTTTAATAACGCGTATCAAGTGACACGTAGTTTACGTTTTTTGTATGAAATTGTCAACTGCTTATGAAAGAAAAATTCAATTTCCCGCATTTGAATTACTGACGAGTTTCATGTACGAGTTTGGCGCTGTTGGCTGCTTCTTAGTGTCCTCTGTCGGCGAGTCAGTTCCAACTTCTAACCTAATACTGTACTACCTTGAAAACATAAACAAGTGTTCACGCACTGTAGCATTGACCATTTGCCGCTCCTCGTGTCTCCAACTTCTCATTCATCTGACCGTGATTTATAAAAAAAAGTTTTGTTCATTTCTATACATCAGTTTTTTAAAACTTTCAACCAACAACCATGGATGACGAGGCTGAAATCTACAAACTCTGGCGTATTCGCAAAACTGTAATGCAGCTTTGCCATGACAGAGGTTATCTTGTAACACAGGATGAATTGGATCAAACTCTTGATCAATTCAAAGAACAATTTGGCGATAAACCAAGTGAAAAAAGGCCAGCACGTAGCGATTTGATCGTTTTAGTTGCCCACAATGATGATCCAACCGATCAGCTGTTTGTTTTCTTCCCAGATGATCACAAAATTGGTATCAAAGTTATCAAGACATACTGTACTAGAATGCAGGAAGAAAAGATTCACAGGTAAAATTATGCTTTATTAAAATTTCAAAAATATCTAGTCGCTCACTAAAATGACATAAGGATACACTTCATTAACAATTATTCTTTCATTATTAATATTGCAAAAAACTTGATTTTCTGTCTCTTTTTATACAAAAAATTAATACTATCCAATAACATTTACTTGACAAAGACACTAACTGTAAAAACCAACACTTGTTTGATATTTAAATTTTAAAATAAGTATTTTATTGTGGAAACTTAAGTTGAATAAGCGGAATATACTTTTGGTTTCAACATAGTCAAATAATAATCTGCATTAATATTTAAATTATATGATAATTTGAATTATACGGTTTAATAGCACACAAAAGAATCTTATAATTTTTCAATAAAACAATCAGATTTAACGTTTACTTTTTTTACAGGGCTATCATTGTGGTTCAAAGTGGAATGACTCCATCGGCTAAACAATCTCTTGTGGATATGGCTCCAAAATATATTCTGGAACAATTTCTTGAATCAGAACTGCTTATCAACATTACAGAGCATGAGCTTGTCCCAGAACACATTGTACTGTCACCAGATGAAAAAGAAGAACTTTTAAGTCGTTATAAATTAAAAGAAAATCAGCTTATGAGGATTCAGCAAAACGATCCAGTTTCTAGATACTTTGGACTAAAAAGAGGCCAAGTTGTAAAAATTATTCGGCCTTCAGAAACTGCTGGACGATACATCTCTTATAGACTTGTGTGTTAAGTGGATTTTTTTGAACAATTAATTATATGCTTAGAATAAGGTTGTGAATGTGATTAATATAATACAACTTGTAAATATCAAAAATGCTGTATTTTTTTTATTATTAATCACATCTAATTGGTAATAATTTTATATAAGAATGTATTTGTCAGTCAGGCTTAAAATTATTTTCAGACAACTTTTACTTCTATAAATCAAAATCAATACTTGATACATTCAATCTTACTAACTCATATTTAAATTTTTATTTGCTACAGTGTAAAACTTCATCATTAATATAACAACCTTTCGAATTATTCTTCAGTTTTGACAAAATCCATTCATAAAAATTTATAATTATAAAATCTAAGTAAAGAGGGTTTCACTAATAAAACAAGTACATATTCAGATATTCAATGAAGAAATTGTGTTTGGAAAATTTGATTTTTTAGTAAATTTGCCTAGTAAAGATAGTTCACGAATGGTTTTAATATACCGGATGTTAATTGCTGTTATAAAAGCACAATGATCACATAACGTATTATTTGAGCTTACAAGTTTATATGAGGTTTTTAAAAAAATGATGAAATTTTTTACTCAATTAAATAACTAGTAGTATGAAAATGTTTTGAAGTCGACAATTGCTTGATTTTTTACTAAACCGCAGGAAAAAAACGACGATCGACGTGGCCTTGATTTGTTCGAAAATTTAGTCCTGAAGAGGCCGACAAAGTGGTCGGCGAAACGTCGACTAGGTGACGAGGCAGTGGTTGATTACGCACTCCCGTCCACCGCCTGTTTTAATAAATTTGACTTTGGCACCGCCTTTATCGCTGTTTTATTTATATTGAAAATTTAGTTCACAAATCGTGCATACGTACCCATATAATTGTGCAAAGATTTGTTGAAAATTAAGTACTTATATTTCATCGATTCAATAGATTAATTTTTAAACGTAGATATTTTTGTGTTTATTTTGTTGGCAACGCTAAGCGCAGTCGCACTGATAACGCTCGACGCGCCATCTCCCGCTTTGACGTAATAGACATACAAGTGATACAAGCCGATACGCGTAACGCGTGCTGCTCTCACTTCAGTGGATTTACGCTTATTAAGCTTACGTCTATTTTTTGGATCTTCCACCACGTGTTTTTTACTCACACTATTACTATTATAGATCGTAGTGCATTTGAATAGATCGAATACGATACGAAATTGCACTGTGAACAACAATTGTATCGATTGCAACACGTGAGTATTGTTAAATAAATAAAAATATCTTAAATTAAATTATATCTTAAATTATATGTGAATGTGTTTGTTTATTAAGGCATAAAACGATGTTCTCGAACGTAATCTGCGAAATAATCGACGAAAATGACTCGGAAGACATAGATATGCAATACTGTGACCAATTCAACTTTTCAAAAGTTAAGAGCTTACTAGAAAATGTCAAATTGGAGAGCAAAAAAGAGCGACGCAAATTTTTAAAAAACATTTATCCTTCAATCAAAAATTGGGAAGGACAACTTCCTAACCTCCAGGAAATTTTTCGGCCCAAAGAGATTGAATGTCTTCTTATGGATTCCGTTTATTCCTGGAGTAAAGAATATAAGAAACTAGGAGAACAATTCATCAGGTTTGTGGCTCGTACCGGTTACAAAGACAAGCCTAAAGTCAATAAGGAAAGCAAATTGTTACATCGCACAACTGCAGTGCATCATGCGTATAAATGGAATGCCCCCTTCACCGTCGTCCATGAATTATTTAAAATTTACAACAGGATTGACGTGAATTACATAGACGAGTCCGGCCTCTCGCACTTTCATGTGGCCTGCGCGTTTGACTGCGAAGACATCGTCAGAAAATCCCTCGAGCTAGGACAGGATCCCAATTTCCCTGTGCAAAAAACAGGTTATTCTCCACTTCATGTAGCTCTTTTCCACAAAAGCAAAAATGTGACTGAATTGCTACTGAGAAGCGGCGCTAATCCAAATGTATGCGATGCACATGGTTGGACAGCTTTGCACTATATACGCAGAGAACATTGTCAAAACGATTTGGCAGAGATGTTATTCAAGCTCAGCGACAAAAAATATCAACCGTTGCAGGTCAATGTTCGGAACAATGCGGGTGATACACCGCTGATGTTGGCTTTTTTTGCTGAAGGCAAAAAGGAAGTGGTGGAATTCATGTTGAAAAGAGGCGCTGATCCAAATTTAGCTAACAAGGACGGATCGACGCCTCTACACAAGATTTGCCAGGGAATTGAAGATGACTTGGCGAAATCATTCTTCAAGATTAACAACGACATGCAGCAGATAGTTGACGTCGATGCTCAGGACAAGTTTGGTCGGACACCGCTGCAATGGGCTGTAGCAAATCTCTTGACGAATACTGTCGATTTACTTTTAGATCATGGTGCTAGTCTGTCTAACTTCGCTTTCCTCACTGAAAGTTACTTTGACAAGAGATGGAAACCAGTGGCATACAAATGGAGCAATCGTATTGAAAAATTGAGACTAGTGTCTAGCACTCTGGCCATCATCGACCGGTTAGAGGAAAAAGGATTCGAGATGGACTCAAGCGTCGCCCTGTCGGTCATGAAAGTTTTTGGCAAGCTCGGATTGTTCAAGATTTCGGCGGATTTGGATAAATGTTGGTATAATGGTGAGACGTTCACAAGCACAGCAAAAGAGATAATTTTAAGTCGTGATGATCCAAAGCTGTCGCTCTACGACCTGATCCATTTAAAACCCGAAGAGGCGGCGAAATTACTCACATGTAAGTACCACTTCGAGTTACCCTCCTTGCACATATATGGAGAGCTTTCCCTTGACGTTTGTACCAAACATCTGTGCGAAAAGCTATTAAGAGGATTTTCCCGCTGCTGGACATTGCATTCATTTTTGGAGCTGACGCACTTTCGGCTGCCAATTTTGTGCTGTGAAATGATCATCGATACACTTACGAATGCAGATTGGTTTCATATTTGCTTAGCAGCTGCAGGTCAAAATTCATGATATCAATATGCACATTGAAAGTACTTTTAATATCTGGTATTATTAAATATGACAGATTTTCTATATTATTCAAATAAATACATTTAAAAAATATATGTTTTGATTTATCATTTGATTATCATACACCAATTTATTCCCCTGTGGTATTTTTGTGATCAGCACAGTTTTGAGGCAATCTAACTGTAATATTTATCTCGGAAAAATTTCAGCCCGTATGAATAAAAAACCCGTGCCACAAAAAGAGTGTTGATTTAATGTAAATCAACACTCGTCTTGTGGCACGGGTTTTTTTCTTCATGTGAGCTGAAATTTTGCAGAGAGATTATTTTTTTTGGGGTTTGAAAAGATTGAGGGGGCGTCCCGACAATTTAAAAAAAATTTTTTTGTCAGTCTAATGGATGCGCATAGTTTTCGTAAAATTTCAATAAAAACTGTGCTGAAACGATTAGGTATATATTACTTATGAGCCCGCATGTTCAGCTATCGTTACGCCTTGAGTTCACTTTTGTGGTTTGTACTTTATTTTTTAATCAGACGATTGCTGAATACGCTTATATTTTGGCTCATGCAACGATCAGCCGAGAATTTTTTTCACTTCTTGTTTGGAGCTGTGAATGGGGCAAGCAATTAATTGCTACTACGAGAAAAGTGATCGGTAATAGCAATATGTTACATCTAAAAAAACAACGTGGAAACCATTTAATAACTTAATTCAAACCAAAATATGTTTTCTACATTTTTTAAAAACTAGTAAAAGCTCTCATAATCGTTTTATCTATTTTTAAGTACTTTCATTAATCCAAAACCTCATATTAATGATCTTCGAATTGCATGAACGGCAAATGAAGTTTGTGTGGGGGTTGGGACTTTTTCTAATCTGTCACTATAATAATATCACCCAAAAGTATAATAAAAACTATTTATTTTAAGGTATGCGTAAGTTCTCGATTTAAAAAATATTTTTTCAAGAAAAACACATCATCATTCACAATTCCAACTACATCAATCAAAAGCTCATTCGTTAATATTCAATTTATTTTATAGTCACGAGATAATATTCATCGAGTACATTGTATGAGTATCAAAGAAAGAAAAACAGCGTTGATGGCAATGTAAAAAATGAGAATGAAATGAGAGGCGATTACCTTGAGTAAGGTTTACTGAAGGCCATTTTAAGACTGCGTAGTTACAAATTGAATTGAACATCGCCAATATGTATATTTTTTTTCAATCGCATCATCCAGTACCGGCGTATTTACGCAGGAATATTAAATTGCCGATCAATGCATCTCACCGATTACGTATGAAATAGTAGTCACAACTCACATCGATACAGACTCGCAGCGCGAGAAACCGGTAATAATAATAATAACAACAATTACGATTCTCGACTCTTTTATGCGAATTTGTTGAAAAATCGAATCGAGTCTCGCTCTCAGTTAATGCTCAGCAGTGAAACTCGTCAGGTTTATAAACAAAAGTTTTTAAAGGGTTATAGCTTTAAATAGTTCGGCAGCAAAATGATCATTTTGTATAAGACGGTTGTGTGTTTGGTTTTCTTCGTGAGATTGTTCAGCACGCAGGATATCATATTCCGCGACGATGATCACATCAACCATGAATTTGTAAACATGAAAATGATTGAATCCAACGAGGAATCAGTAAGTTGAAGAGATATTTGGTGCACCTTTTCTCGCCCTCACTGTAACCAAATTAAATTAATTTGAAAGTGGGTTTTCATTGTGCAAAGGCTATTTATTATTCACTGCTTTTTTGACACAAATTATACGGATGTGTTGATTCTCAAGAAATTCAAACAGTCGCGAGAATTCGCGCATTTAAATTGCAATAATTAACTTTTCCTTGTGCGGATGCAGACACGTGAGCATTGGAAAACCCGATGAAGCGGAAAATAATAATAGATCGATGATTGTCATATAATACGCACCTTCCATTTTGCTTACATTGAAAAACTTGAAAGAAATGCATCAAAACCGCATATTTAGAATTTTTTCAATCTTTGCTCATCAGTAATCATTGATTTTGAAAATTCATTTAGACTTGTTTCTTAAAAATAGATAGAATTAACAATCAATTCTAAGACTTGTATATCCTTGAGTTATGAAAAAAATTAATTTTAAAAATATTTAGACAGTCCAAAACCTGTAAATAAAAGATAAAAATCACTTCTAAATACGATTAATGAACTTGCAGGATCGTTGGCAAGATATTGGGACTTCATCAACATCAGCAACACCTGTAGAGTCCACGACACCTCCGATTACCACGAGTTCTGAATCGACTTCTACCCTAGAATCAGCAACAGAGTCAACCAGCAATCCACCTGTTCAGTCTAACGTAACTTGTCCAGAGAACATGATATTCTACACCGATGCACAAATTTGCGATTGCAAGCCTTACTTTGTATTCTTCGAAAAAGAAGATGCATGCTACGAAGTTTATACTCAAGGTCCTTGCCCCCTTGGACATTATGCTTATGCTGGACTGGACAGCCCGTACCCGAAATGCATTTTTAATCATTGTCTCAAAGACAATTACGTGATCTTCAAAGACAGCTGCTACGAGATGCGCAAAGTTGGCGGAGTTTGCGGCGACCAGTCACACCTTTATGTTAACCAAGATACTTTAGAACTCGAATGCGTCGATACGTCTCTTATACCTTTTTTCATTGTTGGTGCACCGCCCAACAATCGAAATGCTTGTCCACCTGGTAGTCGGAGAAATAAGTTGGGTCACTGTAAAGTTATTTATGGAGGAAAATCCTAATTCTCTGTGATATTTTATAAGAACTTTTACTTTATTAATTAAATATTTAAGAAATAATCTATAATGATGCATCTACATAGTATGTCAATTATGTACACAAACTAATAATGTTAATTTTTTACAGTTCTTTTCATGATTATGTCATTCTAATTAATTTTCTATTTTAACATTTGTATATTAAACCTGCATACATGATATTATGGTATGATGTACACTGTAGGTATATTGTGTGTATATTTACAAAAATTATTTCATCAAATAAACTTGTGTACATTATTTTATTCATTTAAAAGCATTTTTCATTTCAAAATTGAATAATAATTTTTAATAATTCATTGCCTTAAATGTTATATTCAAAATAAAAAATATATTTTACACCACATTTTTGATATGATATGTTTACGATATATGATAAATAAAATGATAGATCAAACTAGCTTTGAAATTTCAATAAAATTTTTGTAAATACTACAATGATCACAGTCTTATTATGGGATAAAAGTGGTAAAGAAACCGTTTTAAAATTTTTAGATTTAGCTTATTTCTTTAGGACTGCTAGCATTACTTACACTGCTTACATTGCTAGCTGCTTCAATCAGCTTTTGTCTTTCTCTGTACATGGAAACTTTCATATTTTCTAATTGATGGTAACGAAGTAATTTTAATGTGGCAAAAACTGATAGACCAACCCAGATCGAGAGACTACTCCAAGCTGCAAATTGAGCTACTCCTAACTCAATGTGGAAACCAGTAGTATCTATACTGTCAGATTTATCAATATCATTACCGGCTGATAATTCACAAGAGGGAAAACGTTTTGTCATACATTGACACCAGCTCATGAAACCAAGAGTAATTATTACAGCAGCGATTAATGTAACGCCGGTTAAAAAAACTGATAATATTACATCAATAAATGCAGAAAAAAAAGAGCTATCTTTGCCTTTATACATAAGCATCGATGAGCGATAAATCTGAACAGCTGATACTAAAAATAGTACTAAGCCTACAAAAATAGTGTAGTCACAGTACATTCTGGAAGCCCAATCTGCAACAAATTGACCATCACTTTCTCTCCAATTGCCAGTTGAAAACAGTAAACAATGTCCTCTGTAAAAGATTAAAATCAGTTGATAGCTTGAAAAGTCCAATTTCAGTAAGAGACATTGATAAAACAAAGAATTAAAGCAATACCTGAATTCATTTATGTGCAAGCTCATAGGTACAATGACACACAATGATAAAATGAGAGCCACCACATATCCAGCAATTTGGCTTAAGAGTAAGACATTTGTAAACGCCATTGTTTATTACTATTTTGAAACAAGTGTCAATTACTGATACTCAAGAGTTAAAATGGGTTTGAGGTTAATCCTTCACTTAAAATACAATTTGTTTTTTATAGCTGGTCACTTTTAACACTTAATCCTGGATATCGTTTAACACCTTAGCAAAAACAATCGAAATTGGATTGGCATCGAGTCAGGTTGATTTTTCTGCTGGCAAAAACAGTCACAATATAGAAAAATAAAAACGTCATCAATGATATATTTACTATATATAAAATTTCGAACTAATATATCATCAAATGTAAACGAACATTCACTTTGCTGTATGCGTCACTTATATAAATCAATCACGCAATTAGTTTATTTCGTATACGTACATATTTATACGTCGCGAGGCCCCATTCACACGTTGTACTTTCTACGACTAATACGATATCGAATCCAAAATCTGACAGATGGGCGGATGTGCGTAGTGCATCGTATACAGACCATAACAAAGATGCGCACGAGCGAGGAACTGCTTCTTGCTGACAGTTGCACTTGCTCGTGATTCGTCTGTGTTACTCGCACGCAATAGAGAGAGAGGTATGAATATTACATACTTTCGTGTACGCGGTGTTGCCAATGTCATGGAGGCCTGTTAAATTCAAATTTTTTCATATATAACGCATATTTAGCGCGTGGTAATTGCTAATGAATGAAAGCGACGGCATCCTTTTTTCCATAGTTCAAATGAGAAACGTATTATTTATTTAAATTCTCATAGCGATGTCTCACTCTTGATTCAAGAATGCATTCAGGTTTTTACAAGTGCATTCAGATTCCTCAATGCAATAATCATTAATGTAATGCATGAATCATTACCGGTTTTTATGTCGTTTCAATATTAACGAAGAATGACAAAAAAAGATTAGTACATAAAATAGCTATTTATCAAAATTACATATGTAAGGTATATGCTGATACACATGAATTACTTCAATAGAATCTTGAAATGCAGTATTTTCCTTGTGGTGAATACTCAAGTAGAAAAATCATTACGTATTAAAAATTGCGCGATCGAGCGTCTTTTTTTTATTATTCAGTAATGTAATGAAATGCAAGTAAAATAAGTTTTCGTTTTATTTTGAAAATTTAATGGCTTCGTCGTAAATAACGAAGACGTAATTTTTCGAATACATATTTTGACGGATAGTATAAATTAGCGCAATTACGTGCAATTAGAGAGCCGTTAATAAAGTAACTCTGCACATAACATGGAAAAATATTAGTCGTACAGAAAAAAAGATAAATTTTTTTTATTATTGAATGACTCAATATAAATTTAAAAAAATGAAATGAGCGAATTCTCGAAGGGCTGGAAAAAATTCGACCAAAGCGATTGGTTTTGTTCGTGTAGATCGATGCTTGCAATCGTCATTCGAAGTTTTCATCGTAAATTGGAAAAAGCTCGGCAATCGAGTTGCCGAGAAAAGTCGTATAAAATCGTTCGGTAGCAGATGAGCTATAAAAATGTACATTACTAAGCGAGCTCCCAAGTAAATCGAAGTGAAAAGTACATGCATCGCGTTCAGTGAGAAAAGTGCAAGTGCAAAAAAAAATGCATTACAATATTAGTCATAATCTGGCAACACTGTTGCGCGCGCAACTTATTCCTCTGGCTCGCATCGACTTTATACGTACGGAGCATAATATATATAGGTATACCTATACATGATCGCTGCAGAGTAAATGTAACGAGGAAAACGCGTGCGTGTTTACGAGTGCAGTGCAAAATTTTGCAGAGCCCCGAGGCAGCTGAGCGCGCGAGCATGTGCAGCTCGAGGCAGCAGCGTATATATGTGACACCAACAGTCATCCCTTCTCGGCTCTCCCTCTCTTATCTTATAAATACATTACTTTGTATTACATATAATGCGTGCTGTGGCTTCGACTCCGTGTGGGCTTTGCTCTGCAATGTGCTGCATCGCTTCGCGCGCCTCGACTCGATGCACACAAACATTATATATATACCTAGGTATAAGAGAGCATGTGCCGAGCCTAAGCTGCAGTAGCCTTTATTCGAGTTTAGAGACGTCAAATACAGCTGCTTGTCGCGCGACATGCGCCCGACGAGTAGCGCCTCGCCACCGACACGCGTGCACTATTGCACATGCACGTATATGCATCGAGATCACTCACACACACATGCTCAGCACGTATGCGCCCAATATCGCCGAGCCAGTCAGCGCGACTGTAGACAAGCAGCAGCAGCAGCACTGCATAAGTATAATGCGTTCGTGCGAGCGCGTGTAGTCCACTGCGACTAGCTTGCGAAAAATAAAAGATAAAAAAAAAGACTTTGTCGAGTCGAGTGTACACGAGCGCGCGCTGACCATTATAGATTATTTTAATAAGACGACAACGACGACGACGACGAGCAAAGTTCTCAAGCCCGTTGCTCCTATATACTGCTGCACAATTCTGCTGCACGCAGCGATCGACGCGAGATATCGTCTGGTATCGTAATAATTGACGGGTGGGCTTCGTGCTCGATTACGAAAATGTAGCAGCGATACGTGCAGAGTGCGCAAAACAACGCAAGAAAAGACGATCGAGCCGACGAGTGAAACTGGAAAAACGCGAGTGCCTCGTAACATTGGTGCGATCGCGCGATACATTGTACACATTTGGGCTGCCTCGTGAATCCTCAGCTGCTCTTTAATACATGTCTTCAACGACGCTCAGCGACTACGAAAAAGTGAGAGCGAGTTTTTGGAGTCTCATGAACTTATGGACACAACTACGCACGCGAGCAGCATTTAAAGTTGTAAACATATAGTGAACACACACACATACACACATATACTCACACTGGCATACGTACGAGCTCGCACACAAAGTCACAAAGGAACGTATTCGAGGCTCGAGAGCACATATATCAAAGGCCTGCGTCATTTTTTTTACTCTCGTTAGCTAGAGGTCATGGACACTGCGCGTTGTTTTATGTAGCCGCAGTGGTAGCAACCCAGACGAGAGAAAATAAAAAAAAAAAGAATCGGATCCTCGCGGAGCAATTCTCGTTTCGCAGCAGCTTCGCACGCGCGACAGGAAGCACAACGACGCGACTGACTGCACCTTTCCGCAGCGTGTGGAAGCTGTGCATCGCCACGAGCATACACACTTTAATACCGTATATATATATATACGCACGCTGTGTTATTGTACTCGCAGCGCAGCCACCATCAGCTGTTTTCGATCAATCCCGCAAAAACGAAAACATACACCGAGAGCTCGCAGTACAAAGAAGGGGACAACAACGACGCACTCCGCGACGACACTACTTCTACGTTGGATATATTTACGCTGGATTTCCTAGCGCGTTGCGAACCAGAGAATAAGTAGTGGGATATTTTGAAAGAATACGCGTAACTATCAAAAAACGAGAATCGTCGCGTAGCCATCGTATATCAAGTCCAACGTTTTTTGGGGTGACTGTCAGTTCTGCAGCTGTTATATTATTAGTTAACAGAGCTACGTTGTTGCATATGACAAGTGTACACGTGCTGGATTCTCAAAGCGATCGCGCATAAGCTCACAAATAGCATACACTGTTCGTACTGCCTGCCATACTATCATTGCTGCTTCTGCGTCTTTAACGTGTCTCGACTCCGAAACTAGTGCGGTACGCATACATTACAACGATTGCGTTCGATTTTGAACGGTTGCAGTCCGAGCGCTTATCTGCGCCTTTTCTTTCTATTGTTTACTCGAACGGCGCCTTCGTTGGACATCGTTCTTTAGTATAGTTGGCAGATATATAGATATACGCATACATCTACATACGCGTTCGATCGCTCTCTCAGTTCTCTTTGTTTTCAACTTCTTTCGAGCTAACTTTTACTATCCAGTGCGAGTCGATTCTGGAGCATGACTGTGCAGCTTCATGAATGATGATTTAGCCCAACAAGGGCTCATAAGTGAGAGCTATGTCTTGGCTAGGATATTTGCCATGGTCAGAAGGTATAAAGAAGAGAGCCTGCAGATACTTGCTGCAGCGCTATCTTGGACAATTCTTAGAAGAAAAACTTACTTTAGATCAACTGACAGTAGATCTTTATAATGGCACCGGACGGGTCACTAATGTCAGTCTGGATGTACAGGTACAAATATATTTATTGAAGTGTTTTTTATAACAATAATTCTATACTTATCCATTAGTTCTTTGAATTGGTTCTATATTAATAAACAAAACTATATATAAAGATGAAATCTATTTAATACTTCCAATAGTTTCTTCAAGATATAATTCAATCAAAAAAATATTTTCTATTCTGATGCATCAAACCTAATCAATATCAATTTAAAGATTATAATTTTAAAAAATTTTAATTTAATAATACATTAACTTGTGATTCATTGAAACATTATATGAGTGAAAATCATATCCTACGTATAGAATCAAATTCAATATAAATTTTCAATATGTTAGCACAGCTATCGTCAGAAAAAATGTATATTACGTAATTACAAATTTGCATGAAATTTCATTGTTTTTTAAAAAATACATACAATATAAAATTTTCCCATTATTTTAGGCTCTTAACGAGCTGGGCGAACAACAACACTTGCCCATTGAATTTGTTGATGGATTTGTTGCTGAAATGTCAGTCAGTATACCTTGGTCAGCTTTACTCAGTGAAGCAAGTTACATTGAAGTAACTGGTTTAAGAATGACGGTTCAACCTAGACAAAGAACTGATGATGGAACATCTATGTTTGAATCGATGTGGAGCTCAATGACTTCCAGTATGCAACTGGCACAAGAGTGCTTGCAGCAAGACTCTAATACTGCAGGAAATTCGCAGCCACTGGAAGGAATCGAAACTTTTGCTCAAACAATTGATTCGAGTATGAAAACTAGGACCTGAAAATTTGAATAGTTAAAAAAAACTTTTTTAATAATGTATACATTTTTTTGTAGTACTGAGTAAAGTAAAAATACGTTTTTTGGATACTGTGATACGTTTGGAACATGTGCCACTTGATTCAGCAACAGGAGTTGCAATGGAAATTCGTATTCAAAACTTGGAATACTCTGACGAAGCAGGATCAGATCCATCTCCAAATGTTGCTCTTGATTCTAATCAATCAGCCAAAGGATATGTAGTCTCTGCTTTTTCGACAAAACGTTTTTATTTAGAAGGTGTCACTTTTCATGCTGATGAATTTCCATCAAGGGCAAGAACATTTTCTAAAAGTGTTATGACCACAAGTAGGGGTTCAACTCCAGATTCTAAGGTGTGCTACAAAAAAGAATTAAAAACCTGTAATTATTTTTTATACTTTGTCAATTTTTCTTAAATAATGATGAACTTTAATTTTAGACTTCAGATGGGCAATTTTCTTCCGCACAAATATCTCCAACGCAAAATATGCAAACTCCACCAGATAAAAATATAGTAAATAACTTGAATGAATCTAATCCAATTATTTTTGCTAAATTATCTGGTCGTCAAGAAATCAAATTAAAGCTAAAACGTGGAGAAGGCGTTTTAGGACCTAAAGTAAGTATTGAAAATATATCAATTTGAAATTAATGAAAGCTGATATTAACGTTTATTACAATTTCAGGTAGAATTAATAGTTACCCTAGGCTCTCTTACTATGTTCATGAGCCCACGGCAAGTGCACCTTTTACTCGAATTAATGCAAGGCCTTGCTTCACCAGATATGGAAGATATTAGTAATGTAGCTCCTAGACCAGTTTGTACCGAAAAGCCAATGGTTAATAGCGATTTCAATAGAGTAGAACGTGAACTTTTCAGTCAAATCAATCCTGCGCAAAGTTTGAAAACATTAGTAAGTAGATTTTTAAATTTATGAACTTTTTCGAATTATGATTACGATTTATCGACGAAATCTTATAGGATTTACGAAATACTCAAGGCTGGTCAACTGCGTCACTTGACGATTCGGACAACGAAGATGAATTTTTACCAATGCGCATGCATAACACTAGTGCGAGTTCAAATATGAATAATTCTATTACAAGCAATAATACTAGCATGGATGGAAGCATAATGACAAGTAGTTTTAGCTCAAAAAGTTCCATAAACAATTCTCATCGTCAGCACAAATACAGGCACACTGTAGATTCTGATCCATCGGCGGAAACGTCGCAGTTCCACGTAAGAGTGTCATCGATTGCTGTAGTGTTATTGCATGAGAATATACTTACCACTGGTATGGAAGGATACGGACCAACTAAAGCTAGCATAAAAATGATGACAAGTAAAGCTGAAGAGTTTTTTCAGAAAATCCACAAGTTCACAGCCAGTGGATATGGTAATAAAGATTTTGAAAGAGCCTCAAAACTCTTTGCTGATGCATGTCAACTTAGCCATTTGAGGTAATAATATTCATTTAATCCTAATTAATTCATTATAAAAATTATTATAGATTATTATAGTAAAAATTAAATTATGTTTCTTTAGATTTTTAGCAGCTCCATTAGTATTAGAATGTAGCGAAAAGAAAACATCGCAGTTCTGCACAACATCAGGTGGCCTAACTCTAGCAAGCTTGGAAATTGTTGAATGTTTGATAGAAGCTTCAAATAGTAATAATTCTATCAATGCCACGTTCATAGAACTGTTGAGTTTTCTCAGAGAGAGTACACCTAACTCAGCTTTTTTGAATAAAACTGATTTTGAAATGCGTTTCAAGTACAGTATGAGAGCTGTGAGACAAGGACAAATTACAAAGTATAGTAATCCCCGAACAGAATTTGAGTAAGTCCGAATTATAATTATATTATATTATAATATCCTTAAATTTCTCTTAACAATTTTTTTTTAAATCTTAGCATCACATTGAAACCTTGTCAGTGTGAATTGGACATATCAATAATCGATAGAATATCAATGCTTTTGAATCCTGAGCCAATATGTGTATCAAGTCCAGCCAGTACTGTAGCTAGAGGAAATATCGTAAGTTTTAGAAATTAATAAAAGTTCTAAATAAATAAATTTAACATTCGATATTTTTTCATTCAGAATCAACAGACATTGTTTTATCAAGCGGTCGAAAGTCCACTGCCAGATTCTCGCACGGATATCAAAGTTAATGCTAGTAAATGCATTATTATCTTGAGGTATTGAATAAAATTTCGATAAATGTTATCAAATGAAATAAAACGTACTGAAATTGTTTTTATTTACTTATTTACTAGGTTTCCCATTCCGGATTTACGTCCTCGATATGACCGCGTTCCTTGGTGGAAACGCTCAATCAGGCCCGACTACATGACATTGCATCTCACTGACGCCAAAGCACAAACACTATTCGAAAGTCGCAAACCGTATCTCTCACGTTTGGAAATTCAGTGTCGTCGCGTTTTGGTCACTTACACTGAAGCGGATTCAGATGTACCTCTAGAAATTGCTAAAGCGTCATCCGACAAATGTGAACGTGCAGATGGTTCGTTGCAAAACGAAGATGAAGGATTTGGCTGGCCAAGAATCGTCGTAAGCATTTTTCCACAACATGTAGGTGGACCTCTGGAGGATAGTAGTGAAGGAGAATTGGATAGTAGTCTGGATGATACGCTGGAAAATGCACCTAGACATCAGCCGTCGCCGTTCAGCTCAAAAAAAGTTATTCACGAGTCTGATACACCGCATTCGAGGCCGCAGAATCAGCATGACAAGGATAGTTCGGAACAAAAGTAATAGATCTGATAAAAAGTTATTTGGTTCAGTTAAGCATAATCAAAAAACTAATTTTCCATTTTTGTTGTACAGAGAAAGCGAAGAATTAATAATACCTGGGAACAGGCAAGAAATGAACGAATTTATCGAAGAAGGCACACGTAATGTAAGGATACAACTGGAAATCGGCTTACCCTGTGCTTCCGTCCAAATTCCATCAAAGCATTTGTATGAGCTAATATACAATAGATTGAATACTGATCTTTTGCTTTGGGAACCCTCGGCTCCCAAAAGAAAGTCTGCGTTGCCAACCGATACAAACGCTAGTCTTGATATAGCTTCAACACTCTTGCAAGAATCCGTTTATCCGAAGTGAGTTTTTAAATAATAATTGCTAATAATAAAAAAATAAATAATAATAATAAATAACATATATTTTCCTAGATTTAGCATGTGTAAGAGCGGCATCCAATATGACTCAGATTCGGACTCAGAAGAAGACGGTATATTTCAATCAACGACTAGCAGAGTCACTAATAAACACCGGCACAATCGTTTGATGAAAAATGGCCAAAGTAAAGTGTCGATTACCCTTACAATAAATCAGGGTTTATTCACTATGTTCACACCGGTTCGGGATTCTATGCAAAATGTGATTCCTGGTCAACAGGGTGAATTAGTAATACGGATAGAAGACGCAACTATGTTCTCGGTTTCTAGCTACAAAGGAGACGAGAATTTGGGCTATGTTTGCATTTTAGGGAAAGAAGTGACGCTTTATCATTGTGGTATTAATACGATACCATCGCAAGCTCCACCCTTGAGGTCCATCAACAGCATTATCCCAAAGCATTGCCATCGCACGATTTATCGAAGCGAACCTGGTGCTAATATAGCCGTAAATGCCATTGAGAAAGATATGTTATCAGTTGCTATTAAGATTCAAAGTGCTCATGAAACACATCGAGTCAAGGTAGTTTTTTTTCAAATTATTCATTCTTTGCAAACTTTACGATATATATGTTTATTATATTACTTATGAAATTTCATGTGTACAGACTTTCAGAGTTGCTATCGGAATCAGTCAGGCTACGCTGAGCCATCGCGTTTGTTTATCGCAGACATTCTGGTTTACGCAATTAACCGATTGCCTCGACGTTATGGATCACCCAGTTTCAGGTTACATACCACCTGGAGTTTTGACTGAATTGCATGTTCATCTATGGGAGTGCACAATTGATTATAGGTACTGATTTTTGATTTTCAAATTTTATTCTGAAGTTGTAATAAATTGCGATAGTTAACAATAAAATAATTATTTAATTTTAGGCCAATTCATTTGCCTCTGAGATCAATGGTTACAATAGGTAGCTTCAGTGTTTCGAGCAATATCGCAGCGCAAACTAATACTTCTACTCTTCGCTTCATTGCTGAAGATTTGGCCCTTTTCATCTCTGATAAGATGGGTAAACTCGTCGACTTACGTAGAGATTATGTGTGCGTTATGGATCTGGGCCTTTTTGAGCTATCTCTGCGCTTAAATGAAAAAATGTGTGGAGGAGCCCCCAGAGTAGACCTTCGTGCGAGCAACGATGTGTTACACGTACGCACTTGCTCGGATTCAGGGCGAGCTCTAATGCAATTATTAACATATTTTGCTAGTGACGGTGACCTTGCACCAAGTACTGGTAACGAGGAGAGTACCACTGTACCTAGCTCCGAAGATGGCGAAAGTCTACTAGGAGATGAAAGTATCAATCTACTTAGTAAAAGTCAAATTGAAAGGGTAAATAGTCTAATGGAGGAAGCCATGGAAGACACTGTTAAAGGTAAGCATCATTTTTAGTCTAATGAATATGTAAAAACATTTTCATTGTTAAATTGATCAAATCATCAATGCAGGTACAACTGAAAAACCCGATCAGAAATCACCCAAACGAAATGATCAGGTAGAAGTTTTCTTTTTTCCGGACGAGTCGAATCCTGCGGTTAGCGATACTTTTAAAAAATCATCAACAACGTCAAAAGGGTTTAGCAGTCCATCGTTGGACGATCATCATTTGCTTGATTTTGACGACGGAGATGAGGATTTCTGTATACTTGGTGAGGAAGCGGGTGTTGGAATTATGCCTCGGCATGGAGTACCAGAAGTTCGGTTGTTGTCTCAAGAATCATTAAGAATAGTTGATAACCATTTTTCGATACCTTTGGGAAAGAAGGATTTGTTGCAAGCACCAAAAAATTTCCCACCGGCGAGTTTAAGATATACGTTATGCGAGATGACACTAGTGTGGCATATCTATGGCGGAAAAGATTTCGGAGATACGCAACCGGTAGCTAAAAAGCACATTACCATAAATGATAACTCAACATATTACAGCAATTGCAGTCAAGCAAGGTGAGATCAAAACTAAAAGTATATTTTCTTTTCGTAATGATATTTTACAAAAATTTGAAAAAATCAATTGACATTACTGTTGTTTATTTTTAGAAGTCGATCTGCGATTGAAAGTGTTGGCTATAGCAGTTCATCACCAAATAGAGTCCGTTTCGGAAGTATGCCGAACTCTCCTAACAATCGTCAAGTTAAAAATGGCCCTCTCGATTGGCAAGAGTTAGGAGGACCTCATCGCCGCCTCGATGTCCTCATGGAATTTCAATTAAATAAAATTCGTTTCCAGCATGAACTTTATCCTGACAACACTCGCGAAGCCTCTTGCCAAATTCTCCTCATCAGTGAAATCGAAATACGAGATCGTTTGGCTAGTTCGCATATTAACAAGTTTCTTTATCAGTACAGTAGTGAAACCAAGCCTAGACAATCACACGCCAATATGTTTGCCATGAAAGCTATTCACATCCGACCGGATCCTAAACAATCGGCTCAAGAATGTTGTCTAAAACTAAGTCTGCTACCTCTAAGGTTGAATATTGATCAAGACAGTTTGTTGTTTTTGATCAATTTCTTTACTGAATTGAGCAATGGAATAAAACCAAACACCGAAACTATGGGCAATAATGTGCCTGTTTCTCCAGGATCTAAGCAAGGCACACCGACGCACCATCCACCAGTCATGAGTGTTAACGAAGAGGAGGATGATTTCGATACTAAAAATACTATAAATATCTCGCAAAACGCAAATATTGATCAGAATTTAATGATATTATTAGAGGATGAGCTCACCATTAAGGAGAACAAATCAAGCGCCAAGACCATTAATGAGACACAAGAGTCAGGACAACCAGTATACTTTAGGTGAGTTTAAGCATTCCAAAAATTCTTATGTGATTTATATAATTTTTGAATAATTTATTAACGTTTTTTTTGTAGAAAAATAACCTTTGCACCGGAAGTCTTAGTCCGATTGGATTACCATGGTAAACGAGTTGATCTCACTCATGGACCCCTAGCTGGCCTATTGATGGGTCTGGGTCAATTGAATTGTTCAGAATTAAGACTGAAAAGATTGACCAATCGTCAAGGCATTCTTGGATTCGATAAGCTTATGTCTTATTTGTTATCAGAGTGGACACAGGATATAAAAAAAAATCAATTACCAAGTTTACTAGGTGGAGTAGGTCCTATGCACTCCTTAGTTCAACTATGTAAGTTTTTTTTTCAATAATTTTTCAAAGAGAATCAAGGTTTTTTAGTAGAATTTGATCAAATATTTCATTTGTTACATTTTTTTTCAGTTCAAGGAATACGCGACCTATTTTGGTTGCCAATTGAACAGTACCAAAAAGATGGAAGAATAGTGAGAGGTTTACAAAGAGGTGCCAACAGCTTTACAACTTCCACAGCAATGGCAGCTCTTGAATTAACTTCTCGATTAGTGCATGCGATTCAAAGTACTGCTGAAACTGCATATGATATGGTTAGCCCTGGACCCAGTGTTCGTAGCATTAAAACTAAAGGACAAAGAGGTCGTAGAAAACGATATAGTCAACCATTAGATATTCGAGAGGGAGTTGCTAATGCATATATTCTTGTTAAAGAGGTAATTTCATTAAATAATTAGACTCAGCTATTAGCTTTCAATCATGCTTTCAAAAATAGAAATGAGCAAGTTAAATTTTACAATATTTTTCAGGGTTTGGGAGAAACTGCAAATCAGTTAGTTCGAGTTGCAAGTGAAGAACATGAGCAGAAGGGAGTGTCTGGAGCAGTAGGTGGAGTGTTACGCCAAATACCACCAACTGTTGTGAAGCCAATTATTTTGGCTACAGAGGCTACCAGCAATGTTTTAGGTGGTATGCGATCTCAATTGGTGCCAGATGCCAGACATGAGGCTGCCCAAAAGTGGAGGCAGGACTGCCACGATGTAAATTAAGAGCAAAATGCCATAATATAATGGAATTCACTAGTAATGAATGATTTGTGCTTGTTTCCTTAAAAATTTTTAAAAACATTCAAACTGAGCTGAGATGTGCAAAAATGTTCATGACAATGGTTGAATCAACTGAATTATATCACTCACAACGACCTGTTCATAACATGAATTTAATTTTTTCATAACTAACAAGCTGATCATTCATTGATAAGTTTTGCAAATTGATTACTAAAAAAAATGTATTTTATTACGCAACAAACAGACTATTGTTCTGATAATGCAATGACAAAAATGTGATTAATATAATGATAAAAATGAATTTATTTTTCCAAGGATACAGAAATCTAATCAAGACAAGATTCAATGACTTAGTCATTAAGATGCTTACATAAAAAATTTTGAAAAAGAGAGAACATGAAGTTTAAATATCTATCCAGATTTAAAAACTTCACCTTTTGTTTAATTAAATTTTAGTGTTATACTATAAAAACTATTAGTTAGTTTTAAATTTAAGGATGAATGTTAAAATTCAAGAACGAATGATATATTTACACTATATGTTCATGAATTGTTGACAAAGCAAAAAAATAGTGCTTGTACATTTCATGTTCTAATGTCTTGTAAGTTTTATACAAATTATACAAATATATGTAAAAGATTTTTCATAATAAAATGCAGAATAAGTTGTTTTATGTTGACTTGTTTCAAATTATTGTTTACCTACTTTATGTGTTCTCGTAATATGATGTAAAATATTACAGTTTCTAAAAGAATTCAAATTTTTGACAGTTTAAAGATAATTATTAATTTTATATAAATGAATGAAGGTAAAAATTAGTAGTAACTGGAAATTATTTAAACTTTTTTAAAAACTTACAGTTTAATTCTTTTTTTACAAGAGTTACATTTTATATTTAATTCGATACAATGCTATGCATACATTGAGCACTCAATGAGTTTTGGTTGCCATTCAGTTTTTTGTTTACACTTGCATTTTATTGATCAAAACAAATTGACAAGTAAAAGTTCATTAACTATCGAAGGTATGTATTATTTAAATTTATAATACAACGAAGAACGGCTCCTAATTAGCACTAGGATTAGTATTCTGTATCAACGTAATATTATCGCCTTTTAGCATAATGCGACCAAGTTGTTTCCTGTTTTTGGTCTTGACGTGATATTCCTCGGCATCGTCCAACACGAGATTCATGTACTCGTCAAAGCCAACAATGTGTCCCTCGATGCGAAGATTAACGTTCTCGAATAACCAAACTTGCACACGTGAACGATTTTGAAGATAACGGAAGATCAAGTTGATGGGTTGTACCATAACTTTTTGCACTTTTGGTGGTCCTTTGTACGCCATTGTTAAAGATTGATCGTTCACTTAAAGCGAAATTGTAAATGAAATTTCAACTAGTACCGGCGACAAGTACGTAAGGTTATGTGCGAATGTGCTACAAACAGCGTCGCTATGTAATGTGACTTGGCCGTTTGTAGGCTGTTGTAGCTGCCTGCGGCAGCTGGGTTTCACGATGATAGATTGCGCAGTCTCGCGATGTTTTATTCCAAGCGCGCGGTTATTATGATTTAGTTAAGTGTGTTTATTAGGAAATTGTTACTGTAATAAAAAAAGCATTCTAAAAGTATTGGATCACACTAAGGTTTGCAGATACTACTCAAATATTGTAATATACTAGTAATTTAATTAAAATTAAATTAAAGTAATTTAATTAATTTAAGTAGTTAATTTAATTAATAATAATCTGTTTTATACCATAAAAATTAATGTCTGAATGTATAAACATTTTTCTTGCATTAATAAAATTTAAAAAAATTGTAACTATAGAGTAAAGCAGCCTGTTATGGGTCACTTTGAGCTATTATTTAAATAAATTGAAATTAATATTAAAATTAGAAATTGACCTGATAACATTTTTCCTACTTCTATTAATATTATTCTTCCAGAAAAAAATTTATAGCTCCACTTTTTTTATACGATTTACAACTCTACCATGGCCCATAACTGGGCTATGCAATAAAATTGTCCATCCAGTTCTGGGGGCTTCAATTTTAAAGAATGATGACAGAAGGTTCCTCATACATTTCGAAGCACGTTCGTTCATTTTTTATACGTTCGGTGCTCGAAAATAAAAATTTAACCGCGTCCCAAGTTCAGAATCATTGACGGTCAGTAGGGTGGTTCATAACTTGTCTAATTCACATTTTTTGGCTTTAATCACTTTTTGACAAATATTAGGTTTTTATTTATCAAATATAAGTATTAATTCGAAAGGTTACCTTTTTTGTTTCCAGAAGGTACTGTTGGAAAATTTTTTGATTTTATGCACGATTTCTATAAGTGAACAAAGTGATGAAGCATTTCTTTGGTGGCTCATAACTGGCCACTTTACCCAACACTATGATTATACATGTTTGGAATGAAAATGAGCAACAAGCCCCAAAACTTGAAGTTATTTTCATCTCTTTCTTTAACGGTATAGTATACTACTTACTCTTTCTGTCCCAAGTTCGCTGAGTATGGGCCCTAAACTCAACAGTGCTAAAAAGTGTTACTCATTGCACTTGTATTTTAAATTACTATTATGCAACAAGTGCCCTAAAGGCGTTTTCGTCATACTATTGCATAAAATATTGATTTAAAAAAATGGTTATCGAAGAACAGGGATTCTTGACTCTTTATTCGGCGTTCATTGCTATACTAAAAATCATTAGCTCGCACGCAATAACTCAGAATATAAAGGCGAAAGTTGTAACTCAATTTTAGGCTCTCGTAGGAAAAAATAGTATTATCAACTGGCGCAGGTATGGTTTTTTAACAAAACTCGTTACAGCACTCCCCTTCGGCTTGTGCTATAATCCCTCGTTTTGCTAAAAAACCATAGCTGAACCCGTTGAGGAATATACTATTTCTTCTGTGTTTTATTACTACATTTATAAATTGTACTTTTACTGCAATATGGATGATCCATCATTGTTTAAATGTATAAGCCAAATGAGTACGTATTATAAAAGAAAAGATTATTTTCAGGTGTAACGAATGAAAAATAAAGAAAAGCGCAAGTAGCTAAAATCGGTCACTCGTTCATTTGTTAGTTTTCATTTTAGTACTTTCGGTGGTTTATTATAATCAGTTTATAAAAAAAATCTTAAACTGACGAATAACACTGTGTGATATAGAATGCTCTGCTTCCTTCATTAAATGTAATATTTCATGAATTAAATGAAAAATCTGCTTGAGGCAGGCAATGTCAATGAAAATAATTTACAGAAATTATAAACTACATCAATTAGCGAATTATAGTTTTGTCACCAGATACAATTTTTGTCAGTAACCATATTACCAAGCGATAACGTTAAACTCAACAAATGTTTATTAATCACGATAAAACTAGTATAAATGTTACGGATTTAATTGATAAAAATTAAACATGGGATTTTATGCTATAGACTTTTTCCCAACTAAAGGTTTTAGTCCCCCACAAAAGTGTTTATAAAATCGTTTGTTGCAGGCCTGTAAGTAATCGTATATTAACGAAAAATGATAACCATCGCGAAAGCCAGTGGGTGGGGCTACGGCTCTATACCTCGCCAAGTGCGATGTTAGTCCCGCCCCTTGAAAAACGAATGATATGAATTGTTAAAAATAAAACGGGCACGAACTTAACTATCAAATATTTTAAATTACGTTGCTGCAAAATTTTGTATCAATGCATGATTCTACTGTGCTAAACTATCTACTTAATTATACAGAAATAAATTAAAATAATAATAGTCAAGTGCGTTATTGTTTCAATTGATTGAACATGTATGATTGAGCCGCTAATGCATTAAGGTAGAAAATTAGATTAAGAAAAAATATCGGTTACTCGAATAGGAAAAGTAAATATCAGTTGACAAAATCAAAATAATACATGCAGGTAAAAGTATCCACGGTTACACATATGACGTAGGTTTGATATTTTGCTTTCACAAAAGTCACGTTCTTGAGAAAATCAAAAATTATGCTCGCATTTTGACGAAGTTATTTCGAATATTAATGTACTCTTTGCCAAGGCTTATCAAAAAATATATTTTGTAAAAATTGCAAAATTAAGAACTTTTTTCAAGCGTCGCATAAATACTTGAAATAAAGATAAAAAATATTTTTGGTATTTTAAAACGCATAAATAACTTTGTGTCACACTAAACTAAAAATTTCAACTTTGCCGCTACTCGTGAGCTTTTGTGCTATATAAAATATTGTACGGATATTGTGTAAATACGCTTTTGCTGAAAACTCGCATACATAAAGTTACATATCGTTTAATAGCAGAAAGGATTGCGACGCCTACCTGTGCAAAATATTGGCGAAGAAGTTTTTCCGGCGATGGGCACCTTTTCCAGGCTTCAAGTAATTATTGCAAGTCTAGAAGAGCGAAGATTTATACAGTACCTTTGTAATGGCCTTGTGTAAATAAATTTTGTAGATTTCATTTGTATCATTTTATTCAAATGAATAAAAAGTAAAATAAAAAATAACAGTATTGATTTTTCAATTAATTAACCCTCATTCATTTGTTCTCAAAAAAAGTTGATTTTTTTAGTCCAGACTAAATTTTATCGGTTTTTATCAATTCCAACATTTAGACAACATTCGAAAAATCTATATAAATAAAAAAACTCAACATCAATACCTAAAGGAAATAATCAAACGTTGTTATTTAAAATTTTTAGTATCGGATGACCCTGTTATCATATGATACCTATTCACTAAATTACGTATCTCACCAGAATTTTTAAAGTTTTTCCGTAGATTTTTTCTCGAGGGCATAAACATGAAAATGTTTGAATTAAACTTTTACAAAGTACTCTTGAATATATACATATATATGTACTTTTATATGTATTAATGAATAATAATATGATTTTTATTATGCTATAAAGAATCATTTCTGCACATTGAATTAGTAAAATTGATCGTAACCATGTATCATATTTGTCGTTTCAACATAAACAAAAATATTTTAAATAATCTAAGTAATCAGTGCAAGATATAACAGAACCACTTTCATGCGAGTCATTTACCATCTGCTGTGAGTTCGGTTTTTACCGCCGCGGTGTGCGTATCGCTTTGTTTCAAGTGCTATCCATCTCTAGTGATTTTCGCATGTTATTACTTTTTCGAGTGTTTGTGACCGAATACATATTATTCACATAAAATACTTAATATAATTGAGCTCATAAGAGCCTTTTTCATATTAAAAACAAAGCTATATATCTAAAAAGTGGATAATAGCTCTAACCTATACTCAACGGGTCTTGGCTCACAGCCAGTCCCACATAGTCATCTCTTTCTTATTCCTCCCTATTCTCATCTCATCATGTCAAGAAGCAATAATAAAAATAAAAATAAAAGTAACAACAACTCAAACAAACGGAAGGCTGATAACCATATCATGAGTAATCAAAATAGAAAGCAAAAATCATCGATTTCAGATCAACAAATGAAAGATGCTGCGAACGCCAATATAGAAGATGATGATTCAGACCTAGAAAGCATTAAATCCATGGAACTTGACACACCCTCACCCCTAAAAGATACTCAAACTCAACAACAACTACTTTATCAACAACAACAACAACAACATCAAGACACTCCCCATTCACAAAGCTCTAAAACAATTCCTGTTCAAAACTCAACTTCTTCATCTAAGCCTTCTCCTCAAACAGAACAACTTAAAACTAAATCATCTAACTTACATATAAACAACAAAAGTACCCCGTTAACATACTCAAATGCCAACAATGGCCCTTTTATTATTTTCATAGAACCTATGGCTTCTACCTCACCTGTTTCCCAACTTAATCCCACTACTGTTGGACGTATAATCTCTTCTACCTATAGAGATAATTTGATTTCCATCTCCTCATCAGGCAAATCAAAAATCACAGTCACTCTTACAAATAGAAATTCTGCAAACAAGCTCCTCTCAGACAATCTTCTCTTTCAGAACGGTTTGAAAGCCTCAATTCCTTATCACAGACTCTTTAGGCAAGGTATAATAAGAGAAGTACCCAAAGATATCTCTACGTATATGTTACTCAATATGATTGAATCTCCTTACCCCATTAGAAATATCAAACGCCTTCAAAGGAATGTACCCGATGGCTCTGATAAAGTTCAATTAGTTGATACTAACTCAATTCAGCTTACTTTTGAAGGGCAGAACCTTCCCTCTTCTATAAAACTTTTTTCAGTTATACATGAAGTTGAGCCTTTTATCACCCCCACTAAAATGTGCCATAATTGCTTTAGATATGGACATTTAAAATCATTATGCAAGAGTAAAACATTATGCATACACTGTGGCAACAAACAGCATGATCCAAACAATGAAACAGACATATGCCCAAGATACTCCATGTCACCCATTTGTGTCAATTGTCAAGGAGAGCATCTGCCCAGTAATAAAAAATGTCCTGAATATCTT